CTTTAAACTTCCCGGCATGGTTCCGCTACGTAGACGATACTTTTACCCTGTTTGAAGGTAATAAAGATGATTTAAATAGAGTTCTTTCAACAATGAATTCTATTGATCCTGCTATTCAGTTCACTTTTGAACTTGAGACTTGCAATTCTCTTCCGTTTCTCGACATTCTGGTCACACGTAACACATCCAACTTCAAGTACTACAGTTTACCGTAAACCTTCATCGGTTTGCCTTCCACCACACTTTAAATCATGTCATCCGACTAAACAAAAGTTAGCTTCATTTTATTCCTATGTTTTCCGTGCTCTTCAAGTTTGCTCCTCCAAAACTAGCCCTTGATGAAGAACTAAATTATTTAAAAGCAATAGCTATTGACAGGGGCTTTTCACCCAACATTATTAATCAAGCAGTTAAAAATTCTCATCTCAACACACTAAAAGCCACACTCTTATTTTAGGAGATTATAAAAATTCTGTTGTCATTCCCTTCTTTCCATCAATTAGCTATAAAGTTGCACATATTTTGCAGAATTTAAATTTAACTTTCGGGTTGTTTACCTCTCCCATCAATAAAATTCCAACTTCTATACTCAAGGACCCCCTATTCCGGATATGAATTCCTGGGGTATTTATAGGATTCCTTGCCAGTGCGGTTTAATTTACATTGGCCAAACTAAGAGAGCCTTAAAATTTCGCGTCAAAGAACATGAGGCATATGTTAGAAAAAAGGAAACACAGAAGTCTTCTGTTGCTCAACATTGTTGGTCCGAAAATCACACTTTCAATTTTTCTGCTGCCAAAATTATTCAAAAAAAACATCTTCCATTGGAGAACTGGATTTTTCTAGAGGCATTTCACATTCATAAAAATCTTTCTGTTCTAGTTAACGATCCTAATTCCAATCCAAATTTGCCTTCGGCTTTTAGAGAAATTATGTTTTTTAGTTCTGGTTTCGCCAACAGATGGCGCCACTTGCTTATTCTTGTCCAGGCTTTTTTTATCTTATTAAACATTTATTTCCTATCTTGTTCATTTGCGGTTTTGCAGCTGAAGATGATGGTTCGGTAAAACCATCGAAACTAGTCCTGTGAAAATTTTGTAAATTAACGCTGATTTTTGTTGTTTGACTTCTGAATTAGTATTTATTCGGCGTGTTATGTGTCTTAATTAAAGCACTCTGGTTTTACAATTTCTGAGTAAGCTATTCGTATGAACTGAAATAATTCTTGCATTTTAAACTTGTATTCCAAATTAAGATTTAACTTGAAATAATGTAGATAATTACTGAGAGAATTAGATTTTTTTAGTGTAGTTTACGTGAGATGAGATCACTTGGGGTTACGTGAATCGGATGTTGTACCATGAAAGCATAGTAAATTCTTAATTAATGACTTTTACAATTTATTGTCTTTATCATTGGTTTTATAAAATTTAACGATAAAAAGCTTATGCCCAAAAAAAAAAAGGAACAACATTTGAAACATTTATAGGATGATCTCTTGTCGATGTTTTCAGATGCATTAAAACGGAAATATTTTTTTTTTTATTATTATTTTATTTTTTCAGATTTCTTCATTGTTTCTTTAATTTGATCAAATCCAAGCTCTTCTGACCAGTATGCTCTATAGTTTGGCAGGTGAACTAGAGATGCATAAATGCAAATACCCAAATATTGATTTATTTCATTCTCTGATATAGTCAAAAGGCTTACTTGGATTCTTTTGAATAGCATATCGTTTGCTGTCTTCATAAATGTTACTTACGATCTCTTCCGTCCATAAATATTTAAAAAATTGGTACGTAGTGTCCAAATCCGTAATTTCTCTTGGGAGCGTGTCATCTCCATGGAATTTTATTACTTCTTCAATCAATGAAATGTTTTGATTTTTCCATAAAATATTCTTTGAAAATGTTTTATTATTCTTAACAGTTAAATTTAAAAAAGGTTCTCTGACTGAAATACACCAGCGGTCGAGCAGTAATTTCACAGTCGCTATCCGAATGAATCATCATTAGATAACACACAATCAGGTAAAAAATGAACATCACCAGCAGAATTTTCAAGACTATCCTCACTTAAATCACTCAATTCGTCAAAATTATTCATATATCTAGCAATTTCATCTTGGGTTAGTATACACTTTTTGGCCATGTCAAAATGGTAACCAAAGACCAATGTTGCAGACCTGCAACATATAATTAAAATCAAATTTCATTCAAAATTTTTCTATTAGAAAATCAAAATTTCTTTTAAATGAACATAAAATGTTTAAACTTCTTACCTGGTAATTTTTTTTCGTCACTAAACAAGAGGAAGCATAAAATATAATGGATTCTTTTTATAGCAAAAACACAGTTCTTGAGGAATCAGAGATTTTTATAATTGTTGCGATTTCTGGGGAAAATGTGCTGCTATCTAGTGACAAATTTAGCATGTATTTCGTTGCAGTAACCTTTTTTTCTTAGATAAGTGATTTCTAGGTAATTAAAAAAAATATTGAGTCTGTTAAATTAAAATAAATCATATGTTGCAGAAATGCAACAGTGGGAAGTTAAGGGTTAAAGATGCTAACGAGGGAACACCATTGAAACTAGTTCCCTGTGAAAATTTGCAAATATAAACGCTGATTTTTGACTTCTAAATTAATATTTGTTTGTCATGTTATTTTAACCTAAATTATGAATGTTTGTGTTCATGTATGCATGTAAATATGTGTGTGCACACACACATATATATGTAGATACATGCACACATGCATGCATAATTTTCCATTTCTGAAACCTGTCCCTGGTTTTCCCCATGTGTAACGTGTATACAAGCCAGTTTCTCTTAGAAAGTCCTCCACAAAGGCATCCCTCCCTTTAGGCAGATAGCCCTTGAGGCTTTGCCATAATCACATGCACATTAAAATCTGTCCTAATAACAGAAAAGTAACAATTATTTTTTGAACAATATTCACATCCCCAAATATTTACTAATGCAATAGTTTTGCTAACACTCCATTGAGTGGTTCACTGATATTTACCAGGATTAGGTGAACCGTGCAATGCAATATGGGAAATATTCACCATTTGTCTTGCTCTCGAGATGCAAGAAAATTCTGCTTCATTTCAACAAAGAGTTAATATAAAATTAACAAAGCAGCATTCTTGTGTTTGGTGTAGATTTAGTGAAGAACTCGGTTGATTTTGAGGGCAACAGGTACAGGCCCCTATTCATGAGTAGCAAAGAAATTTGCAAGACTGGAAAGCAGTGGTCACAAATGGTCATATTTATATCCTACAGCAGTAAAGTAAAAGAGAAGGTGGTACCATCTTCCAGACAAAAAAAAAAAAAAAAAAAAAAGCATTTTAAAAGTGTTAGGAAGGAAGGAATTGGACAAGATAAATCATTAAATAAACAGGATAAATCTTTATGAATTTGAACAGCTTCAAGAAAATCCAATTCAGCAATGAAAGAAGGTTTTTGAATAATTTTTGCTGACCCTAAGTCGAAAAGTGTGAAAAAACGAAATTAACTAACTAATCATAGTCGATAACTTGATAACTAATTATAGTTGGAAATTTAATGATAATTTTGACTTTGGATCTACAAAAATTATCTAAAAAGCTCCTTCCATTGGTGAGTTTTAGTTAATGACTTTAAGTCTAATCTATTCTTTCCTAATTCTTTCGTAAACGATATGAGCCATGCGCATAACAATCCTTCAGTCTGAACAAGCAAGGTTGCCAATTTGATATGTCTATTTTCATTGTTTTTTAAGTTCCAACATATTTTATAATCAAATCAGGATTTTTGCTTTAAATTAAATTTTAAAGTATGTACTTGTGGGATTTTCCTACAGTGAAAGAATTTACAGATGTGTAGTACTTGCTGTAAATTAATAAAAGAGAATTAAAGGGATTGTCATGAAATTTCTGCAAAGACCAAAGAGACAAAAGTCTCCATGTAAATAGTTTTATTATTTGATTTTCAGATCAAATATCTGATTAAAATGCAAAATATGTAGGCATGTAATATATAACTTTTTGCACACATCAGTCATCATTCTTTTTCTTTAGTAAAAAATCACCAAACTGTACCACGGTGGTTGCATTAATATGTAAATACCAAGAAAAAATCAGTACTTTTTGAAACTATGTGGTCATTATTTAAATTTTTATAGCTGGTGGATACCATTTGGTTAATATGAGGCATATAAATCCATATGTACTCAAGCATGGTATGCATACACTTAAGTTTGCTCTTGTCCCATGAATACTCGAAAACACGCTAGAGACATGACAGTTCTCGTATATGTTGCCGAGTGTGCAGATAATCAGAAAGTATCAAAAAATGTTTTTATAATAGTGCATGTGAATCCAATTTGTATAAACCATAAAAGAGAGTAATTTGATCAAAGTATTAGAAATTAGCAGCCCCTTGAAATAATTATATTAGTTCATAATTAGATGGAAGAAAATGTATATTATTATCACATCTCCCAGATCACCAAAACTCCTGGTTTTTAATTTTTAAACCTTTATTAAGGAAAATGTCCCCCAACAATAAGTTAAATTTATTGAATTAATGAATCTTAAAATGTGCAAATTCCATGCCATAATTCTACATTATGTTCTCCTACCAGTATAGTTCTATACAGGATGGGACAACTGCCCAGGTGCCAAAACTAGACTAAATTCACCTAAACCATTTTAAAGTGAACTTAAGTCAGTTTGAAATTGTGTTTTAATGTTGTTGCCATGTAGGAAACTCATTGTTTTTCATATTTCAAAATTGGCCACTATGATATTATTTCTGTTAATAAAAGCATTTATAATGTGAAATATGACAAATTAGTTATTTCTTTAAATATCTGTTAAGACTATGGTGTGGATAGTAAATTTATCATAATTTCTATAAGCATGCAATGAAGTAAGTGTGTAAGTAACCCCTTTCTTTGAAAAACTACTATTTTATAGAAATTACTTAATTTCTACTTTGCAATTATTATTTTGTAGATCCAAGTATACAGTGAAGATTTCATTCAAGAATGACCTCAATTCCAACATTAGAAGATAGGAGACGTTGTAGCCCAATGGAAAGTGAAACAAGTATGAATGGAAGTTATGAGCATGAGAAAAATAACATTAGTGGTAGTGGAGATGAGCAAACACGAAGATCAACCAGAAGGAAACGTGCTAAAGTGGAACACAAGGAGGGAGAAATAAAGACCGTTAACATATCAGAAGAAGAAAATGCTTCTGATATAGATGATAAAAACAAAATTGAAAAAAATTCTACACCTGCTAATCCTAATGAAGATATAGAAGAAATGGATAGTGAGCATGATGATCCTACAGGACTTGAAGGAGCTGCATTTCAGAGTCGCCTTCCTTTCGATAAAATGACAGCCCAGGAAGCTGCGTGCTTCCCTGACATTGCACAAGGTTTGCCTCAAAGCCAAAAAGTATTTCTTTATATTAGAAATAGACTGCTGCAATTATGGCTTGAAAATCCTAAACAACAATTAGTGTTTGAAACAGCTTTGCTTCATATTGAACCTCCCTATAATAGTGATGGACCACTTGTTATGCGTGTTCATGCATTTCTTGAACGTCATGGATTCATCAATTTTGGAGTTTTCAAGCGACTGAAAATGTTACCTCTCAAAAAAGCTGGTAAAGTGATTATCATTGGTGCTGGAATATCTGGATTAGCTGCAGCTCAGCAATTGCAACAATTTGGAATGGATGTTGTTGTTTTGGAAGCAAGAGATCGTGTTGGTGGACGTGTTGCCACATTTCGCAAAGGTAATTATATAGCAGATTTAGGAGCTATGGTAGTTACTGGATTGGGTGGTAATCCTATAACAGTGATCAGTAAACAGATAACTATGGAACTGCACAAAATACGACAAAAATGCCCTTTATATGAATCTAATGGGAATACTGTACCCAAAGATAAAGATGAAATGGTAGAAAGAGAATTCAATAGACTGTTAGAAGCTACTTCCTATTTATCTCATCAGCTTGATTTTAATTATGTTCATAATAAGCCTGTTTCCTTAGGACAGGCTCTAGAGTGGGTAATCAAATTGCAGGAGAAGCATGTTAAAGAAAAGCAAATGCAACACTGGAAAGCAATTTTAGAACTTCAAGATAAACTGAAAGCCAATCTAAATAAAATGTTGCATCTCAAAGATCAAATAGAAGAAATGCGCAAACAGTATCAAGAACTCTCAGAATCAAAACAACAAAAGGATATTACCCTTGAATTTGTACTCCGTAGTAAAATGAGAGATATTGGCGCTGCATGTAAAGAATGGGATCAGTATCTAGAACAACAAAAAGAAATTGAAGAGAAACTACAGGAATTAGAAGCATCTCCTCCAAGTGATGTTTATTTATCTTCCAGAGATCGCCAAGTATTAGACTGGCATTTTGCTAATCTTGAATTTGCAAATGCGACACCTCTAAATAACCTGTCTTTAATGCATTGGGATCAAGATGATGACTTTGAGTTTACTGGAAGCCATATGACAGTTCGAAATGGCTACTCATGTGTTCCTGTTGCTCTGGCTGATGGTCTAGACATAAAACTTAATATGGCTGTGAAAAGCATTCGTTATGCTCATCAAGGAGTTGAAGTACTAGCTATGAATACCCGAGCAAACTCTGGCATGGTTAGTTTCAAAGGTGATGCTGTGTTATGCACTTTACCATTAGGTGTAATGAAGCATTCGATTCAATCAAATGTACAATCACCAAATGCAGTTCAATTTATTCCTCCACTTCCAGATTGGAAAGCTGCTGCAATACAAAGACTTGGCTTTGGAAATCTTAATAAAGTTGTATTATGTTTTGATCGTGTATTTTGGGATCCAAATGCTAATCTGTTTGGTCATGTTGGTAGCACAACAGCTAGTAGAGGTGAGTTATTCTTATTTTGGAATTTGTATCGAGCACCAGTACTGCTTGCATTAGTAGCTGGAGAGGCTGCTGCTATTATGGAAAATGTCAGTGATGATGTTGTTGTTGGTCGGTGTATAGCTGTTTTAAAAGGAATTTTTGGTAATGGAGCAGTGCCTCAACCAAAAGAAACTGTAGTAACACGATGGAGGGCAGATCCATGGTCAAGAGGCTCATATTCATATGTAGCAACTGGTTCTACTGGTAATGATTATGACATTTTAGCTACACCTATTATATCTCCTACTCCATCTGGTAGTCAGTCTACTGGAATTGCAAGGCTTTTCTTTGCTGGTGAACACACTATTCGTAATTATCCTGCAACTGTTCATGGTGCTCTTCTGAGTGGTTTACGTGAAGCTGGACGAATCGCAGATCAATTTCTTGGTTGTCCATATGCTGCACGTCCACAAGCAGCGCCACAACAACAACAAGTTTAATAGTAATTTATATAAAATTGTTAAGGATGCAGTTTTTAAAATAAATCGTAGACAGTATTGTTTTTTCCTCACCCTCTCCAATAAGTTTTAAAAAAAATTATCAGTTGTCATTGATTTAATGTACACTGCATTTTGGTAAAAAATATTTTTTGAAATGCAATCATTGTTTTACAATATATTATTTTAATAATATTTGCACTCTAGGTTTTGCTTTTCGTCAGTATCTAAATGTGAAATTTCAAGTAAAATTTAAAATAAATAAATAAAGTTATTAGAACTCTTGCATTATAAATTTCACTGAATTAGCTACTTTGATAAAAATCTGGTATTTTAGACCAAACTAGATTTAAGTCTTAGAAAGAACATTTGTGATAACTTTTGAAGGTAACCAAATGTTTGGTGGAATGATAATTTTGTTTCAATTTAAGTACATGTATATTGTAAAATTTATTATATATATGAGTGAGCATTTTAAAAAAAAAATTTACACATGTATCCCTCCCATGTATATATCTTGAAACTTTTGCTGCTGGTCATGTGAGGTTATGTTGATAGTTAACCACTTGCGCTAAAAAGATGTGCCACACACGTCGAGATGCTTTTGTCTCAAACCGCAAGCGACGTGAACACCACGTCAATAGGCATTTATCACAAAAATGAAAATAACGTGGTGCACATATCGCCTAACAACAAGATTGTTTATTTCTTGAGTTACAGCTCTGGATTGCACTCGCAGACGCAGAGCTGCGTAAAGGACACACTTTACCGCTTGTTATATTGTAGCGCACGGCACTGCAACCATGAAGTTTAGTCGTAGCGCAAGTGGTTAAATCTGTGTCATAGAAACTGATTGCACCCATGTGCAAACTTACTTATGACAAGAAATATGATTTAAAAGATGATTGGGTAAAAGTATAGTTCAGGGTACCCCTTGGTGATTTTTGGCAATACATGGATACCGATTTTGTGCAGTTCTTTGACTCGTTATTTTGGCTTGCGAAGCAGTGATTTTTGCAACAAAAATCGCTGCTACACAAAGCCAAAATAACAAGACAAACAATTGCACAAACTCTGTATCCATGTACACATCGACTTATTTTCACTTTAAAAAAAATCCCCGGGTAAAAGTATAGTTTAGGGTAGCCTTTGGCGATTTTTGGCGGCACATGGATACTGATTTTATGGCAATTCTTTGACTCGTTACTTCGGCTACACAAAGCCAAAATAATAAGACTAACATTTGCACAAACTCGGTATCCATGTACACATCGACCTATTTTCACTAAAAAAAAATCCCAAATTCCACAAAAATGGCATTGCGCACTCTTTTGACTTTATCCATGTACACGTCGACCTATTTTCACTTTAAAAAAATCCCAGAATTGCACAAACTTGCATTGTGTACTCCCATTGCTTTGTCCATGTACACATCGATATATTTTCACTTAAAAAGTCAAAGGAGCACCAAATTCTACAATATAGACAAACAAAAAGTACATAATCTCAAATACATTTTAAACCAAACAATAAAATAACATAAAATAGGAAAAACATGTTATACATTTAAGCTCTACCAAAAGCAAATATTCACTTACCATGATTTTCGAGTTCGCTTTGTACACCCAGAGCCACATAAAAATCAAAATATCAGTCATACTCAAATAACTTTTTTCAAACCAGGTACTTTTTCTGATCAAACGCTTCACATAGTGACCATCTGAACCTTTCTTCCTACAAATCCATCTAAGCGGTTTTTACTTTTGACTAGACACATATCCTTCCTACATACAGGACACGTATAATGGCTACTAAGTAAACCTTCATTTACACACCAGTCAATTAAAGCTCTTTTCCCCTTTCGCTCCAAATCGTACAGAAACTTCAAATTAATCTTACTACATTCAGCCATTCTACCGTCTAAAGAATCAAACCAACACACACCACAAAAACGCTTACAAAACATCCCATGATTCAAAATTTCCCAGAATCATGACCCGATTACGTCACAGTTGGGTTTCCATAACATTCAACTACTCGGGCTACCATAAATGAAACAACAACTTGGCGATAAATCAAACAACAACTTCGCCATAAAACAAGGGGTACCTTAAAGTCTACTCTACCCGATGATTGTTATGAATTTATTGTAAGATAGTTATAATGATAGTATTGCAAATATATATTTCAGAATGTTATTTATGTATGCTCTTTCGATGAAATGAAACTGTTTTCATTCCAAACAACATGCATTTACTAATAGTTTCTAACCTTCACTTCACGACAATACCAGCATACATATTCAAAATGTAATGCCAATTAAACTTGAAATAAACCATGAGATGCAGCTTTTTCCGTGCCAGCACGGGACTGGCACCTGAGACATCGTCCCACACTACATGCCAGAGCATGATTAGCTCTTCAGTAATAACGCCAATCATGCACCAGTGTATGATAAGCAGTGAATGTGATAGCTTGAAGCTCTGCTCTATAAAGATATTAATACTTTTTAATGTAAAACTGCATAATTCTGGAAATTAAATTTTTAATAGTTAAATTTCCAAGTACTCTTTTTGAAAAGCATGCCTTTAAAAATGAAATTGTATTATGTGGTATGCAAAGACTCGCATTCTGTTATGGGAAATGTACCTGCATTTAGTTTAGTTAACTGATACACACCGAAGTGACATTTAATTCTTTAGTACATTTTTTCATAGCAGTGTGTGTAAAACTGTGTAAGTTCTTGCATGAGAAATGCAAAAATGTGTTGAAATGAGGACAGTTAAAAATTTTTGGTACATAATGTATTATCCTGTTGAGTATTTGTGGGAATTTCGTCAACGGTTACCAATCATTGCTGTAGAATTCTAAAGGACATGGTCATTGATAATTGCACTACTTGGGCAGTCAACGCAATAATATGCAAGTTCCATATTTTGTATTCAAAAAGAATTTTCACAATAAGAAAAAAGAAAAATGATTTCATGCTTACGAAAAAGAAACTAAAGGCTGTAGAAGGTAATTCAAAAGTCTATAGATATCTCATGCTTGGTTTTAAAGAATGCTGGCAAACTGAAGTATATTTTAATGAAATGTGCAACAACAATAATATAAATTTTTTATTATTCATGTGTAATGTTTAAACATAATATTTAAGCCTAAATTCCAAATTATGATTAACAATTTAAATGTAGCAAATAAAAATTTATCTATAAATTTTTTATCACTTCATTTATTTATTTTATGTATTTATGTGACAACTTTTTATTATTTTAGATAAAATTATTTTTTTAATTTCATGAGTGATTTATGAAAGACGCATATGCAGAGTATTCTACTATATAGCTGCCGACTCCTTGTGAAGAACAACACTAAAAAATTAGAAAAGTACTTTGTTAAAAATGTGTTTTATCTTTTAATGTATCATGTAATCCGTATTTAATAATTAAAATGTTTTCCTTTTCATATGTTAACTGTGTTTGCCTACTTATGATAAATATATATCAGTGATGGCGAACCTATGGCACACATGACACAGTCGGCACGCAGAGCCTCATCAGCTGGCACACGACTAAAATATTCCTTAATCAATAATCACAATGCGAACCTATGGCACACGTGACACAGTCGGCACGCAGAGCCTCATCAGCCGGCACATGACTAAAATATTCCTTAATCAATAATCACAATAAAATGATACTATATAATTTAAATAAGTGTTTTAGTCTGTTCTTGAGCATTTCTTGTTGCATAATGCCACTGGCATAGAACTCGAGCCTAGATATGGCATTTTCATATATCTTCATAGAAATGATATACATATTAATTGACCCAATTTATAACATTTCAGTTTTTTGGGCTAATCATATTGCTTGTTACATTTCTAAGAATACTCCAAAGTTGAAGCAGCTAATTGTTGTTAAACGAATTCAAATTTATTGCAGACTGCCGGTAAGAATACTTTCACTGTTAAATAGTTTATAATTTTCAGATCTAAACATTGAGGTGACTTCTGAATAATTCTAATTTAATATCTTAAATGGAATGTAAAAACATGCAATTTGATAATATAGCAAAATGGAAAAGCTTAGTAGGGAAACCAAGCTTATTCATATGCGCTTAGCCAAAATAAGCCCAATAAAGCCGAAAAGGAGCATATGAAATCTAAAGTCAGAAGTTTAGCAAAGAGATGTCCATGTCAGCGATTACTGTTATCCCCTGTTCATATTTGAATCGATTTATATTTAATGCTTCATTTTTAAATTTTGTGCTTTTCTATACTCTAGCTCTTGAACCTTTCCAAATAACTCCAGCAAAAAGAGGCAAAGTTAAACATTGATACTGGAAGATCATTTCAAGAGGCCTCAACAGAATCATTTGGAGTTATTGAACATAATAGGAAAGCATTATGCATACTTTCTGAGGAAAGTGTTGTGTGTCAGACGGTATTCTAACACCAAGCACAAGACTGTTGCTGAACTTGATGAAGCTGAATGGAAGGAGTTTATTGAAGGGAAATAATTGAGGAATATACCAGAAAGTTGGTTTTTCTAATTATCTTTCTAAAACAAACCACCTAACAATGGCCAGCTTTCAAATTTCACTGTGCCTGGTAAAACATGGTAAACAACTCTCCGATGGGGACTTAACCAGAGATTTTTGGCACGCGGTAACCCCCTATCCCCAAAAATGATTTTGGTCATGCGGCCCCAAAAACGTTCGCCATCACTGATATAGATTGTTTTGGAATTTTAAAAATTCAAATTCGCTAACTTTCACCCGATAAGTAATGTTTACCTTTTCATCTGTTAAAGGCCACCAAACTGTGCCAAGGTTGCATTGATATGTAAGTATACTGCAACAGCGTTGATACATTATTTGAAGCTTTAATGTGCCAGTACAGAATGGAAGAATGGAGACTATTTGTAAAGCTAAAAAAAAAAAAAATCTCAAAAGTAGTCCTTTATGACAGAAATTAGTATCCGTCATTGTCACTCGTCTCAAACTACATAGATCAGAATCACATAAAAATTTGAAACTCTCTTCCCCTCTCTCCCCTCAGCAGTATAAATTGCAGGAAATATTTATAACAAAGCTGTGAGAATTTGGAAGTAATATATTTGTCCCTAGGGTACACAAAATGCGGCTTCTTTTGTGATTAGATTGTTGGAAATTAAAAAGGTACTTACGTATTAACGCAACCAGGCCAAAATTCGCATAAATTGCCAAATTAGGCAACCATACGTGTTTAGACGAAAGTTTATTTGTAAAAAGAAAAAATAACACTGGGCATGTACTACCACAGCAATGGGTTTTCGGCGGAATTTGCCGAGAAAAGAAAGAGACTTTTTTGGTTACTGTACCTAACAGAAGCGCCGTTACCCTCATGGAAAAAATTTGCGAAAATATCAAGGAAGGAAGCATCATTTATTCGGATTGCTGGAAAGGATACAATACAAGTGAGTTCGAAAGTGCTGGATTTCTGCATGGAACTGTTAATCACAAATATAACTTTGTGGATTCCAACACCGGCATTCACACACAACAAGTAGAGCGCATGTGGGGCTCAGCCAAATGTCGCAACAAAAAACAGAGAGGAACAGCCCGTCATCATCTTGACTCATACCTTATCGAATTTATATGGCCTCAAGTTGTTAATGTCGAAGACGGTTTTCAATCA